GCGCTTGCCAGGCAGGCGCTTTGCCGCTGAGCTAAATCCCCAGCCCCTCTCTGATGTATTTCTAATTGCCTTGAATAACCATAAGAGGCTGGTGCTATACCTTACTGGGCGGCACGGGTCTAGGGATGGGTCATGGCTTCTCTTTTATTTTTGGGTACCCGGAATTGAACTCAGGACCTCATGCTTGCCAGGAAGGTGCTGCACCACTGAGCTCTATCCCTAGCCCAGCTTTTCTTTTTGATGGGGGAAGAGGATGTAACTAGGGTGACTGAGCAGGAATGCTGAGGTCTCACAGCGCTCAGCCTTTGAAGGCCATTGGCAGGAGAGCAGTTCCCAATGCTGAGCTCCTTTCCCTTCTCTCTCTCGGATAGTGGCTCCCTTGCTGAGGTGGAATGAAAATATCTAAGATGTGCTTCCCACATCTATCTTTCCTGGAAAACAACTCACAGTAACAAAGAAATGGGTTTTAGTTTTTTTTTTTTTGTTTTTCTTCCGGTACCAGGAGTCGAACTCACGACCTTGCACTTGCCAGGCAGAGGCTTTTGCCACTGAGCTAAATCCGCAGCCCCCAAGGAAATGGGTTTTAGGAGCCAATTTAAGAGTCATATAAGGAGGGTAGATAAGTCATAGGAGAACCACAATGCATACAGGCATCAGAGTCTAGTAACTGCAAAATGAGAGCCCCAAAGCATGTCAGTACATTCTAATATTCCCCAGCAGTGGTTCTCCAGACCTTAGCATGCGTTGGAATCACCCTAAGTCTTGTTAAAAACAGACTGATGGCCTGTCCCCCAAGTTTCCTATGCAATAGGTCTCGGATGGGACCGGAGAATTTGCATTTCTGAACGGCACTCAGGTGGTGCAAAGGCCGCTGGGCTAGGGACCTCACTTTGAGAACAACAGCCCTTTAGGATTAAACAAAAACTCACAGCAAAACTAGCCGATCACAGAGCAGCCAGATCCCTAAGGCTGCCCTCCAACTTTGGGGGATCCCAGCACCCATGATGCGGGAAAGAGACCCACAGAGTGGCCTGGCATCGTGGGTCTGATTCAGGGTTACCCATCCACTGGGAGTAACAACACAGCTTAGAGTTTTCAGTGACTTCAAATACCGAGCTATTTATGAATACCACACTTAGGTAGGCCTTCATGACTCGTTATGCTACTGGTATAGTAGTCACCAGTCCACTGTAACAGTGAAAGTCTACAGAACTGGACTCTGTTCTCCAGCAACGACCAAAGAAAGAACTTTCGCTTTTCCTCTGATTCTTGCCCTCTTAGCGTCTGCACTCCCCAGCCAGCTAGAGGGTCTGGCCGAGATGGAACACTCTGGGGTTCCCAGGTGGCCAGGCCTGGGACAGTGGTCTCTTCCCTCTCCTGTACCCGGTGGCCCTGCTCCCATGTCGGCCCTGGCATGGCCGCCTTGCCTTCCACCGCTGCTGCTGGTTCCCGAGGCTCTCACTGCAGGAAGTTCTTCCTGATGTCTAGCCTCAGTCCTTCCTGCTACAGTGTGGGCATTTCCTGAGGCCTGAGCCTTGTTAGATGGACAGCACTGCTGTGAGTTTGCACTGTTTTCCAATCTACTTCCGGTGCCCACTGCCATCCCTTTCCGCTGGGGTTGGGCTGCCCTCCTGTCCCCAGGCAGACGCCTACCTGATGATGTAGCCCTTGAGGATGCCGTTCTGGTGGCTCTCAGGAGGCGGCTGCCACTGGATCATGATGGACTGGTTGGTCCGGCCGCTGGCGATGACATTCTGTGGCGGGGCCGTGGGAGGCTCCTCGGGGAGGGAAATCCTGAATCAGAAAATAAAAGAGCAGATGGGCCTTTCACTCAGTCTCTGGGGACAGCACAGGCACCTAACAGGAAGGGAAGAGGCCAAGGCCTGTCCTGTTCTGTCTCTTGCTGTGTGCCCTTGGGCAAGTCACTTAACCCATCTGAGCTTGTTTCTACAAAAAGTATCTTGCCTGCCTTATAAGACTGGTTGTGTCTCAAATGACCCCATCCATCTATCTATCTATCTATCTATCTATCTATCATCTATTAATTAAAAACACAACAAAACACCAAATGTGTGCATTTTTGGTGCAGTTGAAGGCCAGGTGCTTCAGTTGCCCATTTGTCAAAGAAGCTAGTGTTGGGGTTGATGAGGTCAGAGGTGTTCAAGCATTTCGGCAGGAGGAGTGTTGGTAGTTATTTCCCACCAGCTGGCTGGTGATGTGCCTGAGCCAGGCCTCCTCACTGACCGGCTGAGCTGTCGGGGGGGGGGGGGGGTGCAGTGGGCAGGCAGGTGGGGCCCAGGCGTCGCCCGCCTCCTGGAGCCCGGTGCCCCGTCTCTCTCTCTTTCTGCTGTGGGACACAGTGTTCCGCCTAAAGTGTATTTTTCACACGACTGACACTTATGTATTAAAAACAAAAGTTAATTATTTTTGATGGATGTCTTTCCCTCTTTGTTTATTTTTCTGTTTTTGCATCCTGATGGATCGCTTTCCTAGCAGCACTGTGTGTACTGCGTTTTCCCAGAGGCCAGAGCCAGGATGATTTAATCTCTCGTGTGGTGGCTGGAATGATCAGAGGAGTCAGCAATGCACAGTGAGGCCGCAAGGCAAGGGAGGTGGGTGTTGGGGTCCCCTGCACTGGGGTCCCCTTGTTGGGATTCCAAGGCTCTGGAAGAGCTGGGGGCAGGCAGGTGTGTTGTTCACCGTGTCACCTGCAGGGGGCCACACACAACTGGGCACATAGCAGGTGCTCAATAAACAGTGAGCAAGACCTGGAGCAGAGAATGTGTGAGGCCCTGGGCTCCATCCCCAGCACCATAGAAAACAACACTGAGCAAATGAATTCCCCTCTTTCTGCTGCCACGCTGGGCTGGGGACTGTCACTTCTTCCCCTGTTGGAGGGTCCTGCCCCTGTGGATGTCTCTAGTGACAGCCCCAGGCTGGAGCCCGTTGGAACACTGGCAAAACCACATGCTTGACTGAAGCATCTTCAAAGAGCTGAGTCACAGCTTGGACATGTGATCTGTGTCACAGACATTTTGATCTCTGGAATGACATTTTCTTTCCCACTAGAGGTGGCCGCTTTGTCTGCAGGGTTAGCTGGGCAGAACGCACCTTCTCCACAAATGGGTGCAGTGCTGGGCATGGATTGCCTGTTGTTATATTCAATGTCCACTGTCTTGTAAGGATCTGCTGGAGTCCCCCCAGGGCCCAGTAGCACGCGTGGCACTGGGTATTGACATTTGTGAAATCCCTGCCCCCAGTTCTGTGTCCTTTGACCATGGTGATAGCACATGGAGGTGTGGAGCAGGCAGAAGTGAGTTCTGAGGTTGCACAGCACAGGGTTACAGGCTGACTCCTGGTGGCATTATCATGTGCCTCGCTCCACCCACAGCCTGTGTCTGCCTGTATCACCTCCTTCCGCTCATGCTGCCCCTGAGTGATAGTTAGGAGCCTACAAAGCAGGAGACTGCAGCCTGGAGGGGCAAAGACATTGAGCCCTGTGATCCTGCCCCCTTGTCACACTGGATGGGCAGCAGGTGGCCCCTTGTGGTCCCAGCTGCAGTGGCTGAAATGTCTTTGGAGGAGTGGCTATATTCCCCTCACCTCTCAGTGTCCTTGCTGAACTGTCCTTTGCCCACATCGTTGACGGCACAGAGACGGAACTGGTAGGAGCGAGCTGGAACCAAGCCCTTGACCATCACTGAGGTGGCTTCAGGGTCCACGCTGGCCAGGAGGATGGTCCATGGGGCATCTGCAGGGACAGTGGGTGGGGCAGGGTGGGCATCCTGTGGGGAGAGGACATGCTCTCTTCCTTCTTTCCCAGCAGGAGTCCAGCCTCCTTTGGGCTGGCAGGAGGGTGAGGACCTCCCTGCTTGGTCAGTAGCACCTGTCACATCTTTCTTCTGGGTCCCATTAGCCTTTGTGGCATTGGGCTGGAAAGCATTGAAAGAAGCAGGGGCTTATGGGAACTAAGATGGTGCTGGAGAGCACTGGAGGAAGCAGGGGCTCATGGGAACTAAAATGGGGCTGGAGGGCATTGGAGGAAGCAGAGGCTCATGGGAACTAAGATGAGGCTGGACAGCACTAGAGGAAGTAGGGGCTCATGGCAACTAAGATGGTGCTGGAGAGCACTGGAGGAAGCAGGGGATCATGGGAACTAAGATGGGGCTGGAGAGCACTGGAGGAAGCAGGGGATCATGGGAACTAAAATGGGGCTGGAGAGCACTGGAGGAAGCAGGGTATCATGGGAACTAAGATGGGCTGGAGAGCACTGGAGGAAGCAGGGGATCATGGGAACTAAGATGGGGCTGGCGAGCATTGGAGGAAGCAAGGGCTCATGGAAACTAAAATGCCTTCATCTTTTCTCTCAAATTGATGACCTCAGGGAAAACTGTATAGAAAACACAATTTAGATTATACTTGCTAATTTTGGAGTTCATAGCCTGGGGCCTTGGAGAAATAAAAATAAAAATAATAATAATAACCACTGTCTTTGAGGCCACTGCTCTGCCAGGCCCTGCTTTGAATACCTCCTGCACACTCTTCCTGGGCTGTCACAATGACCGGAGAGCAGAGGCCATTCTTCCTGATACAGAGGAGAAAGCCCAGGTTGCTCAGACCCCCAGAACATGGAGGTGAGGAGTGGGGACCCAGCCCGACCTGCCTTGCACAGGAGATCAGGAGATTGTCCGGCCCAGCCCCCGGCCCGAGTGACACTGGGACCTTACTGTTCTCTGACATCTCCAGGACGTAGCGGATCAGGGGGCTGTTCCCGTCGAAGGGCTTGGCCCACGTCAAGTTGATGGCCCGTCTCTCCACGGTGCTGAGCATGGCCACTGGGTGCTCAGGAGCGTGGGGCAGTTGCCTGGGGGAGAGATGTATTGGGGGAGCTGCCCGAGGGGTCTAGGGTCATGTGACAGGGACACCAAGATTCAGGTTGGGTGGGTCTTGCACTTCCATGACAGCTCGTGTTCAGACATAGGACATGGCATCTGGCCATCCACCTGGACAGTTCTCCCCCTGGAACTGAAGCCCACAGGTCCAAGCCCTACTCAGGCCCCCTGCTCCTCACAGAAGGCCGCTGTGAGCTGACAGAGGGGCCTAGAAGGATGCTTAGGCTGAGAGCCATGCTCCCTAACCTTTTCAACATGAGGGCCTGGGTTTGTGGAAGACAGTTTTTCCGTGGGCCAGGCTGGGCTATGTGTGGGGGTGATGGTTTCAGGATTAGATTCTCATAAGAAGAGCAGCTAGATCCCTGGCCTGCATGGGTCACAGTAGGGTCCAGCTCCTGTGAGAATGCAATGCTGCTCCTGACCTGATAGGAGATGGAGCTGAGGCGGTGATGTGAGCCATGCGGAGCGGCTGTAAGTACAGATAAAGCGTCACCGGCTTCCTGAGAGACCTGATGCGAGACCGTGTCACACAGGACCTTGGGCTGTGAAGAGGGTGCGGGTTGGCTGCTGCCCTTACCTGACTCGCAGGTGGGCACTGCGGGAGTCATTGCCGCCGGCTGAGAGCACCCGGCAGGTGTATGTGCCGATGTCCCCTGACCACGTCTGTGTGATGTGCAGGGAGCCGTTTTTGTCCAGGCGGATGCGTGGGTTGCTCTCCATGGCCAGGGTGGCTCCATCCTTCTCCCACACATACCTAGGAGCAGGAAGGGCCACTTAGCAGGCAGAGAGAGAAAGAGACGGGGGGCGGGAGGGGGGGGAGGGAAAGACCAAAGCTCCTCCTGGAAAGAGTCCACCAAAATTGGGCAGGTGACAACCCAAGGCCACACTGGTTCTGGCCGGGCAGGAAACTGGCCCTGGAGAGGAGGCTGTGGAGGCTGAGGGCCTAGGAGTCCATCATTCCTGCCGCGGGGCGCTGTGCACAGGAGCGGTCTCACATTAAGTCATTATTGGTCGTTTACACCTGCAGTTCAGGCCCGGGTCAAAGCGTTGTTGCTTTTGGCCAGAAGCCACCACGAAACAGCCAACACAGAAGAGCCAGCAAAAAGAGTGCTCCCGAGGAGGTGAAAAAGATTATGGCTGGGAAAGAATTAAAGTTTCCGCACAGACTACATTTTGGAATTAGTTTTATGAGGAAAATCATTAGATCGATGCATCACTGTGACAAATTGACTTTAGTGTCCAAAAAATCACTTTAGCTTCGGTCAGTCGGTACAAAGGGGGACTTGAGAAATTACACACAAGCCTGTGCCTGACAACGAGAAATATCTCCTCTGGAATTGTTCTGGAGGGAATGTAGACGTTATTATCGCCGTGCACACACCGGAGGGCTGGCCCTGCCTGGGGAGTGCAGTGCTGTCCCCCCGAGAGTCTGGCCATGGCTCTCAGCTCGAGGCAGACTGAGGAGTGGGGTGTTTCTGAGATCCCCTGTCACCTGGAGGTCAGGTGGGGGGTGTGAGCCTCAGGGTCCTACAGGGTCCTAAGACTCTCTGGGAATAGAGACTGCAACACTGGCAGTGAGACGGAGTCTATAACATTGTTAAGCTGAGTCTGAAAGGAAAAATCAAGGGAAAAACAGAAAGTCCAGATATAAAAAGAAAAGAAAAAAGGAAAAGAACAAAGAAAACCCAGACATTCTCCAGCACTGGGGAACCATGGTTTATGCATGTGAGTCTCGTCCTACAGATGTTTCTCCTGCCCATGGACAGGTAGTGGACCGCAGCGCCTCTGTATTTTACGGTCAGATTCCCTGCTGAGAGGCTGCCCTGGCCTAGCCTTGTGATCGTGAGTAAGTTGATGTAACCTTGCTGTGTCTCAGTTTCTCATCTGTAACTTGTGGGAATCCACACCATCCACTTCATAAGGTTACTGTAAGGATTGTGGAGCTAGCATGAAATACTTGGGCAGTGCTTGGGTAATACTACTGTGGTCAGGAGAAGTTAGCTGTCAGTCTTTTTGCTGACACAGCACATGTGCATTAATGATTTCTAGTGACTGACTTATTATCAATTGATTGATCCACCAATCCATCCTTCCTTCTGTCCATGTTTCCATCCATCAGCCTACCTACCCATTGATCTACCCATCATCCATCCATCCTGATTTTAAAGTTGTCTTTTCTTTCTTTCTTTTTGTCTTTTTGAGACAGGGTCTTGTTATGCAGTTCAGCCCAGTCTTGAGCTCACTTTATAGCCCAGGCTGATCTCGAACTTGCAATGATCCTCCTGCTTCAGCTTCCCAAGTGCTGGGATGACAGGCATGTGCCACCATGCCTGGCTAAAGTTGTCTTTTCCACTCAACAAAATATCATATACTCTTTCCTAAAATTAAAAAAAATGTTTTGAACCAGAGTCTGACTATGTAATTCAGGCTGGCCTTGAACTTGCTACGGAGCCCAGGCTACTCTGGAACTCACAACAATCCTCCTGCTTCAGCCTCCCAAGTGCTGGGATTATAGGCTTGTGTCATTATGCCTAGCTTCATATACTTTTTTTAATATGACATTTCCATACCATGTTTTTTAAAAATCAGATGTAGAATGGCTTAATGATTGTCCCATCATTTAACTTATTTCCTAATACTGGATATACAGTTTAGCGTCTTTATCCCCCCTGATATTATAGCTAACGCTGTGCTGAATGTGCTTTTGGCAAAATATTTTCACACTCCACATCACTCCCTGAAGGACAGATTGTCAGCAGTAAAATTGCCAAGTAAATTTTTAAGGCTTTTACAATGCATTTTAACAAATCTACAACAATAATCACCTTCCACTCTCTCTTTACCTAGAAAAGAATCATCTTTGTCAACATTGAGAATGGGCAAAATTTTCCTTAAAAGCAAATCTAGAGGCAGAGAGTAATTCCTGCTTAAAAAAACACCCCAAGGCAAACAGACATTCTTTGTTTCAGAAAGCATATGAAGCCTGTGAAATATATATGCCAAGGCTGTTGAATTTTAATTACTTGATCTAATTAGAAATACAGGGGCTAGAAGAACAAATTATCCCCAGGAGAAAGTAGCTAACCAAATCCAGCACATAGGCTAGTCCATGGTGGGGTCAGCACACATGGCCCTCTGCTTGTTTGTATAAATAAAGTTTTATTGGGACACAGGCATAACCACTTGTTAACATATTGCCTATGGCTGCTTTGCTCTACAGAGTTCAGTAATTATGACAAACAATCTACAGTTCTTATAAGCCTAAAATATTTATTCTCTGGCCTTTTACAGAAATAGTTTGCTGGCCAATGTCTTACAGAACCTGGTTTCTCCAACAAATCAATTACGTAAATGTGAAACAAAAACAAAACCAAAAAAATAAAGATGCAAATGAAAATAAAGGAGCCCTCTCAACAAATGGTGCTGGAACAACTGGATACCTATGTGCAAAATAAAGTGACTGGGAGAGTCACACACTTCACACCTTTCATAAAAATTAATTAAAAATGAGTATGGCATGGTGGTCCATACCTATTATTCCAGAGCTCTGGGAGACCGAGGCAGGAGGATCACAAGTTGGAATTCTGCGACTTAATAAAAAACATCTCAAAATAAAAAAAATAAAAAAGGACTGGGGATGTGGCTCAGTGTGAAGGTCCTGAGTTCAATCCCCAGTACCACCACTACAAAAAAAAAAAAGAAAAATGGATCACAGACCTAAATATATGCTGCAGAACTCTAGAACTCTTAGAAGGTAATGCAGAGAAAATCCAGAAGTCTTAGTGTCTGGCTCTGATATTTTAGATGCCACACCAAAGGCCTGACTCAGGGAGAAAGAAATGATAAGCTAGCCTTCATTAAAATTAAAAATTTCTGCTTCTGAAGAGATATGATCAAGAGAATAAAAAGAGAAGCCGCAGACTGGGGGAAATTATTTAGACAACAAACACCTGATAAAGAACTGTTATCTAAAATATACAGAGAACTCTTAAAACGTAGCCAGAGGAAAAGAAAGAAAGTTCTTACAGACTGCCGCCCACCAACCAAGATCCACAGAAGACAAACATGCATATGAAAAGATGCTCCATGTCACTCATCCTCCGGGAAATGCAAATGACAGATGTTACAGCTATGGGATGGCCACCATCCAGAATAACGATAGCACTGCGCTGACCCAGGAGCCAGGGACTGTCTCCCTACCTATTGGGGGAAGTGCAAAGGGAAGGAAAGCAGGGAAGACAGAGACGGTGGTTTCCTATAAAGCCAAACACACTCTTAACATCATCTTTCCTAAACAAAAATGCAAAAAAGAAAAACCCTACATCCATCATAGTCATGATAAAAATGTTCCAAAATAACCTGCAATTCTATAACTGGCTGTTTAGCAATTTTGATGAGTGCCTTTTCAGGGGCCCTCTCAGCTTTATGTAACAATGGATGGTCCTCAGCACATCAAAAATGTGTAAAAATAGTTAGCTGCAAGGACATTCATAGTCAGATAAATTTAGCAAAATTTAGAAATAAACTAAATATCCAGCAACAGGAAACTAGTAGTGTAAATCATGTTCCAGCCACACGGTGTACCTCTGAATGATTGTGTAATTGGAGTTGATACAAAAATATGGATATAAAAAGGCACAGAAGGTACTTGAGGGAAAAATCAGATTAATATACAGCACATCTTTAGCTTTTTAAAAGTGGCACCCAAATGTTATTACTGCTTCTGTCTATAAAATTAAGGGGAACACATACATCAACTTTTCTGCTTTCTCCTTAATTTTTTTCTCGTCTGCATTTTTTATATTTTCTTTTCCTAAAATGGGATGGATTTGTTAAACAGTGAAAAGTTAAATTATTTGTTATTAATAATAATGGTTACAAGTGGACTTTCAGGTTTGGTCTAGATCTGCCCCAGAGAGCAAGTAGAAGCATTCCCCTCTAGGATGGTGTTAGAGGCTTTCACAGGGGTAATCTGTGCTGCTCGGTGCCTCACCCCTAGGGCCTGGCTTGATGCTGACAACATGTTGCTCAGAATTGGATGGTGTCCACTTGAGAAGGGAGAAATTTTGTTTATTTACTTAGAGTTGCCATGCTGCCCAGGCTGGCCTCAAGCTCTTGGGCTCAGGGATCCTCCTGCCTCAGCCTCCCAAGTAGCTGGGACTACAGGTACAGTATGTGCCACTATTCCAGTTCCTAGAAAAAGAGTGTTCTATTTTGGCAACATGTTAGAATTGCATGGAGAGCTTTAAAAATGCTGAGGTCTGGGCACCCCTCCTCCAATTTAGCTGAAGAGGGTGGAGGGCAGCAGAGGTTCCCACCGTATAACGGAGCCAAGCTGGAAGGGGAGATGCATGGCTGGCCATAGGCATCGACTGTACCTATGGAAGGTGGTGAGGAACCTATTCTTCTCTCTCCTCCCATCTTGAAAAGATTGTTCTAGATGGTTCACTTCATGCTAGGGCAATGACCCCTTCCCATAAACTGGAATAGGACAATCTGGACAATCCTGCACATAGCTGTGGGGCTCTACAGAGTGTGTCTGCTGAAATATCTCTGAGTCCCTGTGTTCATCAATAATTATCTAGAGAAGCCAGGTGAGGAGGCACACCCTTGTAATCCCAGCACTCCGCAGGCTGAGGCAGGAGGATCACCAGGAGTTCAAGGGCAGCTTTGGCTATCAAGTGAAATCAAAGCTAGTCTGAATTGCATAGTGAGACCCTGTCTCAAAAAAAAAATTATCTAGAGAAAGAATAAAATGCACAAGCGTTTTTCAAACAGAAGTAGATGATATTTTGTAAATAAAACACCAATTTAAAGTGCTACTGAATTAATACAGTGTTTTGTGATTATGGAGTTTTTCAATTAATGGATGCTAAAAGTATGGCTACTACATCACATCTGAAGCTGGAACTCTCAGAAGTACTCGATGTGGGTTTTCTCTGAGGACTTTTTCACAGTTAGTATATTAATTTTTAAAATAAAAATCTAATAAACCCAGAAATGAGGACAATCTGGTTAATTGGCCAACAAGATACCAACTACGTCTACACGATTTCAGGGCTCATGTTTGCCTCTGTGCTGGTGTGTGACGATTGCCCTAAAAGGTCACAACTGAATGTTTAATGAGGTGTCTCTCAGCCTGGCCGCTGACATTTTGGCAAGGCATGGAGCTCCTTTGGCACCTTGGGTCGGGTCTCAGCGTGGAGGGTGAGACTGTGCTGCTTCCAGTGGTCACCAGGTGGCGCTGCAGGACGCAGTTGCCACGTGGAGCCCAGGGAGGCCATTTCTCCAGGAGGCCTAAGCTGGGCCCTGCAGCCTCCATGCCCGCTGTTTGACAATAATATTTTGCTCATTGGATACAGCGGCCACACACAGGCCATCTCCACTTCCGGGGAAGCAGTTCCTTAGCATTCTGGAGCTCCTGAGAGAGAGCGAGGGTCATCCTCCCACTGGTTTTAGTTCCTAAAGCTTCCTGGAGGTTGGCTCAGGTGTCCTGGTCCCTGCTTTTACATCTTTCTTGCTGCTTCTGTCCACAGGATTCCATCCCACCAGCTTCTCCAGTGGCTTTGGAGTGTGACTGAAGCCCGGGAGGCCGAGCCCCCTCCCGTGGTGGGAGTGACCCCAGGTTGGGCACCTCCTCATGTGCCTGTCTGCGAGGGTCACCCCAGGGGTCACTTCTGCCGCAGCTCTGGAGCTGCTCCTGTGTCCTCTTACCCACTCTGCTGTGAAGACACTAAGGGACTTGACTGAATTTGTCCACATGAATTTTGCAAGAGGCCTAGAGCATGGGGTGGGGCAGGGAGATGCTTGTAGCGAAGGCTTCGATCCCAGAGAGAGCCAGAGTCGCCCCTGCTCATGGGCTTCGGGTCTCTTTCTTGTCCCGGCTTCCTTGTTTCCTCCTTTCTCTTTTCCTGCACACGGCCCTCTCCATTGCCCCCTACAGGCCGCATTTACCTCCCAGCCACGCATGCTATCTAGGGCTTGCCCTCGGAGTACCTGATGGTCACCCGGGGGTCGTGGGCCACTCCACACACCATGGAGGCCTGGGTGCCCTTGATGACGCTCTGGTCCTGGGGAGGCCTGGTGATGCGAGTCCGGGCTGAAAGAAATGGCGGAGACAAATGTTGAGCAGGGCAGGGGTTCTAGAATCTGGGGGCGACAAGGGTGAGTGAGCACAGGCCCCATGAGATTCGAGCTTTGTGGTTGGCTGAAGGCAGATCTGGTGCACAAGGACCTGCTGTAGTCAAAGTCCGGGGAGAGTTAAAAAGAGCAATGTAGCTGGGCGTGGTGGTGGTTCGTGCCTGAGATCCTAGCACCCTGGGAGCCTGAGGCCAAAGGACCCCAAGGTCTAGCCCAGCCTGGGCAAGTTAGCAACTTGGTGAGACCCTGTCTCAATATAAAAAAAATTTTAAAAAGAGCTGGGGTTATAGCTCAGGGTGAAGGCTCTGGGTTCAATCCCCAGGACCACAAACAAAAACCAAAACAAACCACAAGTAAAGCAATGTGCTCCTGTGACACTGTAATTCACGGAACCTACATGCATGGGGGGGGCGGGTTCCTTTATAAATCCATGTAAAGGATGGAGAAATAGCAATCTGCACAGCTTGTTGGTGACCCAGCCAGGGTCGCAACGAGCTCTGCAATGTCCAGTGTGGTGCTTTGCCAGGTCTCAGGCTCACCCAGCTAGGCAGCCTCCGGTGTGCACAGGCGTAGGGGTGTGGGCGTGAGTCTCTTACAGGAGGGGCTGGCGCACCACTGTCTGGGGCCACATCTGGCAGATGGCCTGTCTGAGGGACTGAACTCTTACCGCAACACAGCCGGGCCCATCAGATCACGCCGGCCCCTGGCTGCTTCCCGGACATTACAGAAGTTAGCTGAGTAGCTGTGACAGACACTGTCTGGCCCACAAACCCTAAAATATTTACTACCTGGCCCTTTATGGAAAACATCATCCTGATTTCTGCCCTGAAGAATCTGAAGACTGCTCTCTCCCGCCACCTCAAAGCCGTCTCCACCCGGCCGAGCACTGCGTGAACTCTGCACCCTGAGGCCCTGCTGGTCTCTGGCTTCTAGATTAATTTGTCACTGTCTGTCCAATCATGAGAGCTCTGGCTGAGACACAGGCGCAGTGTGGGGATGCTGGGGCCGTGTGTTTCTGTGGGCGCCTCCGTGTTGAGGCAGCTGCAGGCATGGCCGGCTCATGCAGACCTGGAGAGCCCCCCGCCACCCCTGCCACAGCCACTCACCCCACACAACCAGGTCTGCAGAGGCCTCGTCCACCCCCCGAGAGTTAGTGGCCAAACAGGTGTAGGTGCCGGCGTCGGAGATGTGCGTGGGGCTGATGAGCAGGCTGCCCGACTCCAGGAGCGTGAAGCGCGGCAGCTGGACGGAGCCGCTGGCCAGGATGCGCTCCCCTGCGGGCGACATGGGGGACTCACGTGGTGCTTCCCCCGCTCCCCGGAAGGGCTGGGGCAGGGCTGGGCGGGGGTTTGGTGACAGGCACAGGGTCACTGGGGCGCCTCCTGATGCTCCTCTACCCGCCACACTGCCTGCCCTTCCTGGGACGAGGTCACGCATTGTCCTGACGGTGGCAGGCAGCAGCAGCCAGGCACAGCCTCGGAGGCAGCTGGCACCTGGGCTGGGCGGGGGAGGGGCAGAGACAGAGAGACACAGAGCCGGGAGAGAACACACGGGCCTGTGTAGGAGGGGCTGCCAGGCAGCTTCCTGTGGCTGGCTCCGGTTTGAAGAACTGCTTGTCAATGGGAGGGGGTCTCCGTGTGAGCCCGCAAGCCAAGGGTGTTGCCCGCACCTGTATCGGGTCGGTGCGATTGTCGTCAGGTCTGGGCACCTGCCTGCCTATGCCTATGTCCATCTACCTGCTGTATGCCATGCTCTGTTCTAGGTGTCAGGAGGCAGCTCTCTTGGGTTGTGCAGTGCACAACTTTTGTAACTGTATTTGGGGAATCCAAGCGAGCTGACTCCAGAACCTAGTTTTGAAGACTGTCCTAGGCTGTCACCTGGCCGTACCCACCGAAGGCCTGTCCCATCTACCTTTCTGCCAAGTGATAGCTGGCCGGGGTGCCCCCGAGGTCTCACACGCCAATACCACTGACATGCCGTCAATCACCGTGCTGTCCAGGGGGCCCCTGGTGATGTTGGGGGCGATACCTGCAGACAGAGGCAGTAGGGTCAATTAGCTGCCCGGGAAGGGCCCCTGGCCAGGGAGCTGGGTCCTCACACCCCTGCCGTCCCAGGTGCTGCCGGGCTTTCTGCAGGTGCTCCGACGAGACCCTAGTGTTGGGAGCGAGACTGGACAGCCCGTGTGGACTCCCCAGAGCGCCCTGACATACAGGGGGAGCAGGTTTCGCCCACCCCACCCCTGCCTGGACCTCATCCTCCTAAAAGGGGAAACCGAGGACCCAGAGGGCGGCTCCCAACCTCCATGACAAGGCACATGGACACATCCTTCATCAACTCGAATCTGAGGCTCCAGCTTCTTACAAGGCAGCTGAACCCTGATGCAGCGCTAGTTCTCTCTGGAGCCCTGAGCAGGTTTTTTTCTCCAGGACTCAGCCCTTCGTGGACCCATGGTCAGTAGGAACCTGGTTGCAGGGCTCCTCCCCTGAAACAGCTCCAGGCCATCAGGGAGGACTCTGGGGGCCCTTGATGCCTGGGGGAGCAGGCAGGCTGCAGACGCTGCACAGGGGCGGCTCTGAGCTCTGAGATGCTATTGCTACGTCACAGCACATGCTGTCCTCACAACGGCCCTCGGCTGGGGGACACTGTGCCCCAGGAGCACTCGGGAGTGGGACAGGGGAGGCCAACTTACTGGTGACAGCCAAGTAGGTGGAGGTCTGCACCTCGCCGGCCGCGTTGCGTGCAAAGCACTGGAACATGCCGGTGTCGTCCGGCACCAGCCCGCTGATCTGCAGGCCGCCGTCACCCCGCTGCCGGAAGCGGGCCAGCTTCTCCACCTCCACCACAGCGGCGTCCTTGTACCAGGTGACGGAGGGCGGCGGCACACCTGTGGGGGACCCGGCCACCTCAGCCCAACTCATAACTTCGCCCTGGCTGCCTTGGAGGGGTTCTGGGGTGCAGCCAGGGCTGGAGTCTGCAAAGGGGGGCACTGGCGTGTCTTGGTCTCTAGAACCTTCTCAGGGCTGTCCCTTTGGGTTTGACGAGAGGGGGAAGACGTTAGAACAGCACTTCTCACATGATTTGGGATACGGTAGGGATTCCAAGAAAATGAAAAGATCCCAGGATCAACTTACCTTACAAGTGCTGGGGTAGACAAACTAAGTTTTTAAAAAATTGCAGGATGTAGCACAGCTTTTGTGGGCTCTGGGAATCCGTGGTAGGGGGTGGTCGTGGAATAGCTTGCAGAGGGGCCCAGGTTCCTTGGGGGCCCTCAGAAGCCCCTTCCTCCCTGGTCTGCACTCTTCTCTGAGGTCTCTCCTGCCACCCGCTCTATCCCTTGGGGTCTCTGCTGAAATGTGGCTTCCCCAGAGGGGCTCCCCCAGCGCTGCCCCCTGAAGCCTGCCCGCTTTCCCTCCCTGCACCCCTCCATTGGTGTCACTGTGTTTCATCCAGCACACACAGCCCATCCCTCAATGTCTCGGAGACTAGGCTGTGTCTCAGAATCGACGGCATGTCATGATTTAATTGGCAGCCTTTTTTCTTTCTTAGTGGTACATAAAATAATGGGGCATCTTACAACCCGTGGCATTTTAGATGAGATGAAATAAGGTATCTGTATTTGTTTATTGGTTTGCTCCTCTCCTTGGCAAAAACGTAAGCTCCTAAACAGCAGGGATTTGGCTGTCTGGTTCACTCTGGGACTCTCCTGCCCCGACAGCAACGCAGGCACATGGTCACCCCACAAGAGGGACCTGCTGCCTGAACAATCGCCCTGCAGTGTGGAGGCTCAGAGGAGTGTTGTTATTCCTGCTCCTCCTCCATGCCACTACCTCCTGCCTGGCTGTATTTACCCTTTGCTCAGTATTTCCCCCTGCCCTGTCATGGAGCACTGCCCTCCTGTACAAGGCATCGAATCCAGGGCTGAGCTACATTTCCAGCCCCTTTTATTTTTTATTTTGAAGCAGGGTCTTGCTAAATTGCTCAAGATGGCCTCAAACTTGCCATCCTCCTGCCTCAGCCTCCCCACTGCCCCCTCAGCTTTATCTTGGCTTGGCAGAACCTGGAAGGAAGGTGAAGATGAATTCTCCAGCGACTGGGACAAGGGTCTAAGTAGGAATAGTGGAGAGGAGAGGAAGTGGCCCTCCAGCAAAAAGTAGGGTACCCAAGACTCATCTCCAGTGAGACACACCCACATCTGCCATTCTGCCACCAAGGCACGGTCGGCAGCTCTCAGATTACGGGCCATTTGGACCTGTCACCTGTCCTGAAATTACAGTAATTTAGGTTCAAGTTATAGTAATGAGGGTTGGTTTCCAGGCTGAGATTGCATAGTTTGGCCCGTTTATTTCCAGAGCTCTACCTGGGACGCACGTTTGAGGAGGAGGTGCGCCTGAGAAATGCCCCAGCAGGGAGGGGAGCTGCTGAAGGCCAGGGTCCTCGTCCCTGGTCCTGCTGCATTACCTTTGGCCCGACAGGGGATGTCCACCACCTTCTCCATCTCAGCTGTGATGTGTCGCTCTGGCTCCTTGACAAACTGAGGCGGCTCTGCCAGAGGAAGGGCCGGGGCAGGGGTCAGATCGTGGGCCTTTCCACCCAGCCGCGCTGTCCCGACCCCCTGGGGAGCCCCAGCGGCGCCTCCGGCTCACCCAGCACGGAGAGGTGGGCGCCCCGGACCACAGGGGCCACGCTGCTGCTTCGAAGCACAGCCTCGCACTCGTAGTAGCCGGCGTCGCTGAGCGTGGGGTTGGGGATGGTGAGGCGGCGGTTGTAGTCGCTGAGGCCGCTGGACAGCTGCACTCCATCTTTCTTCCAGATGATGTGCAGCTTGATCAGGGGCCTGCGGGCGCGGGGAGACAGGGGTCAGCCCAGGATTTTGGAGCCCAGGAAGCAGGGCAGGGCGGGGAAGGAGCATGTCAGGAGCTGGCAGCTTGGCTTTGCCATTTCCGCAGCCTCCAGCTAGAGAACGCTGAGGCATGGTCCTTTGCTTGGGGTCTCAGTCTCCTCATCTGTAAAATGGGGCCAACAGGGTAATCCCTGGGTTGTGAAGATGAGTGTGTTAGTGCAAGAAACGCTCTTGGAATGGGGGCTGATGACGAGGAGTGGAGAGCCCTGTGCAGTGGCTCCAGCAACGCAGGACGTGCCTGCCCAGCGTCTTTTCCTGCTGTCCACATCCTGGAGATTCGGTCTGCTAGGAACTCCTGTCTTGCACCCAGTGGGTCCCCAAGGACCAGGCTGTGAAGTTGCTTGGGGGGGGAACCCAGAGGGTCCCCTGGAAAAGAAACTCTGTGGTCCTGTAAATTTGGAAAGCATTGACGGGAAAGAAGTTGGTCAGAGTTTTCACTGCAGGGCTTCTCAGGGCCTTTAACGTGTGTCCAGCCACCTCTCCCAGGCTGGTGAGAAACTTGGGCTCTGCGTGGCAGGCTTTCAGAAACACTGCTACAGGGAACACTCTCTCGGGAGCCCTCGGCAGGGGGCGACCTTAGGATTGTCACCCAACTCCCCACCTCTCATTACAGGTTTTTCTTTCCTGACCAATTAGAAGGGGTCCAGTCAAGCCGGGTCAGCCTCTGCCCTCAGCCCAGCCCCAGGGGTGAGGCTTGTGTGCAGGCAGAGGCCACGCCTGCTTCCCAGACCGGGGAGCTGGGAGAAGGGCAGTGAGTGCACCCTGGGGGCAGCCAGTTATATTTCACTGCTACAGCTGGCTGGGTGGCCTTGGACCAGCGGCTTGCCCTCTCTGGGCTTCAGGGTCCTGACACCTGTGCTGTGCATTTACTGTTGAGCAAAAGAGGTTGTGTGAGGAGCATTTTGCACACTGCCGTCACCGCAGGAGGCTCAGGGATGGTTCCATGTTTCCCATGTGAGCGGTAAGGGGGCCACTATAGCACCTGGCCCAAGGCCCCCCAAAGTCCACACTGTCTTTCTCATCATGCCGAGGATAAAACCCAGGACCTTGTGCGTTCTAGGTGAGGGCTATGAGACTCAGCTATACTCACAGCTCTATTTTATTTTGAGACAGGGACCTGCTAAGGTGTGCAGGTGCGCCTTGAACTTGTGATCCTGCTTCAGCCTCCTAAAGGAGCCCACACTCGAGTGCCATGGTGATTGCCTTCCCCGCAGGCTGGGAGGGCTCAGCTCTGCAAGGCCACCGCCCCTTCTCTGAGTAGCTTCTCCATGAGGCCCATGGCCTGGCCCTCTTCTCTCAGCCCTGGAGAATGACTGGTCCTGCTGTGTATGACGGCTCCAGACAACAGCTGGGCAGCCACCTGCGTCTCTCCTCTGTTCTCATGTCCATCATCCCACGGGGGTTTAGACCTTTCTTTTCTTTCTCTCTCTCTTTCTCTCTTTTTCTCCTCTTTTCCTTCTTTTTTTTCTTTCTTTCTTTTCTCTCTTTCTTTCTTTCTTTCTTTCTTTCTTTCTTTCTTCTTTCTCTTTTTATTTCTTTCTTTTCTCCCTCCCTCTCTCCCTCCCTCCTTTCTTTCTTTTCTGGTTGAGTTTTGAGACACGGTCTCTCTATGTAGCTCAGGCTGGCCTTGAACTTATGGTGATCCTCCTACTCCAGCCTCCTGAGTGTTGTGATTACAGGCATGCATCACCATGCTTGGCTTGCAGAACTTTCTGAATCTCAGCAGTGCTCCCCAAAGTGGTGGATGGCGTTAGGAGGGACAGGGAGACCGCAAGGAAGCCCCACTCACCTGGCATTGGCCACACACTCCATGATCACCTCCGAGGTCCCAGCCACCACACTGGTGTTCTTGGGGGGGATTATGATGGTTGGTGCGATGGGGTCAGCGGGCCCCCCGACATCTGGAAAGAGGCCAGGTGTTAGCTGGGCACAGGTCAGGACTCGCACCCCCGCCTGGCCAGGCTGACTCCCCAGTGAGCAGGGAGGGACACCACTGTCATGGTGTAGATAGCTGTGGGGGCAGCTTCAGAGTGGAGCCCCTGCACCGTCACCCCAGGGATTATTGTCCCTCCTATCTTCCTCTGCAATGAGTTGCTACAGCAGTGTCCAGGAGAGCCCGCTGGGGACCCTCCTGACCGTGAAGGAAGGCCCGGCCCACCCCTCCTGTAAGTCGGCCCTGCCTCTTCCCTCCGCACCTTGCCCTTTCTTGCTGCCTTTGAAACCCTTCTCCCTGACTCAGTTTATCTTGTAGGTTCACATCTTAGCTGCTGGACTCCTCCACCAGCATGCGAACTCCCCATACTGAATGGAATAGCCTCCCCATTCATGCCAATTGGGCAGTTATGAGTGTGACCTTATTTAGAAAGAAGGTATTAGCAGATGTAAAGATGAGGCCGCGCCGGATTAGCGCAGGCTCAAGATTCAATGTGACTGGTGGCCTTATTTGTAAGAAGAGGGAAATTTAGACACTGATCCACAGGGGAGAAACCTTGGGAAGGCAGAGGTAGAGATGACAGAGATATGTCCACAAGGCAAGAAATGAATGCCAAGGGCTGCCCGAAGCCACCAGACACTGGGGAGGCGGACAGGCTCCTCCCTGCATCCTTTGGGAGGGGCGCAGCTCTGTGGACAGCTTGATGTCATAACCCTGGGCTTCAGACCACAGGGGAATCAATCCCTTGTGGAATAAGCCTCCCAGGTAGCAGTGCTTTGATACTGTGGCCACTGGAGACACCCCAAGGCAGAAACCTTGTGAGTCCTTGCTACAGACTGAACTGTGTCCTCTCTCTGTTGATCTGTTGAAACCCTGACCACAGTGTGATGGGATGTGGAGCTGGCGGCTTTGGGGAAGGTGTGTAGGCTTAAGGAGGCCCTGCAGGTACGGTCTCCATGATGGTACTAGTGTCCTGGTGAGAGGGGGGTGGCCTTGTAAGAGCCCATCTCTCAATCTCTCTCTCCCTCCCTCTCTCTCTCTTTGTGCCATGTGAGGGCACACTGACATGGTGCCATTCTGTAAGCCAGAGAAACAGCCCTCACCGGACCTGGACCACCTGATCTCAGACTTCCGGCTCTAAGACCGTGAGAGTGACCGTGTCTTACCCTCAGCCTGGGGCTTTGCTGTGGCGCTCGAGCCGGCTCACAGCTCTGCTGCCGCCATGCAGACAATGACACGGACAGTGACACCTGGCATATAGTAGGTGCTCAACACCTTCTAGTGAGCCATGATAGACCTAGAGCTCTTATCCTACAGCTCCCAGGGTCTATGACTGAAATTAAGAAGAGCTTCCCATGAGTAGGTTTCACTGAAAAAAAAGAAACCACCCCAACTGTTCTCATCACAGTGGTACCATTTCCTATTCTTAGGGTTTGAATTCTTCAGGAGGTGGCCAGGCTCTTGTCTTTGTGGGTTAGCCTAGGTCCAGTATTGGCAGAAACTCCGATAGTCTCTGTACATCCGCTCAACAGCTCTTGAAAATACAACCTCTGAGGACTTTTTCTCTCACAACAAATCTATCCAGTTGGCCTCGTTCCAGGAGGCTCCAGAGGTGGTGAGCCACGCTGGCCTGCATGGCCCAGGGTGAACAGCGATGGGACGTCCTCTATGGGGTGGGAGGAGGGCAGGCAAAAGCCCGATGCCATTCTGGGCCACCCCAGGCAGCCCCGGGCAGGCTTTTCCACCTGGACTCCAGGCCTTGCTAGAAAAGGCGCAGGAAGAATGGGAATAAAATGTAAAAATAAAGTAAAATGAAGGGCCAAGAAAGGAAGCATATAAAGCAGAGTAATTGCAACAATATAAAAGCCTCATGTAGGTGCCATAAAGAGCGATCGGATTGAAAGCTGCTGATATAGCTGAATCCATAAAAGTGTGCTCTAAGTTGTTTATTACATGCCGGGGCGTGCAGGTACCACGGCCCAGATTAATGGAGCACGAGGAGGAGGCAGACAGTTAGAGGCGGGCTGGAGCGCCGGCAGTGCAGCCGGGTAAACAGACGGCCCTGGGGGGAGGTGAGTTGCGGCGGGCAAGTTGGCACAGGAGGCTGCCCGGGCCTCAGTGGGCTCCCTGGATGGGGAGGGGTGGAGAAGGAAGTGCAGAGCTGGAGGGGAGCCACTGGGCTGGGGAGGGGAGCCACTGGGCTGCCCAGGCACAGGGACACAGGGTCCAAGGGAGCCTGGGTTCAAAGCCTCACTCTGCACTAAGTGTCCGTGATGACCTCAGTAGGTTACCTCGTCCCATTTTCTTAGTGGCTAACGTGGGATAAAACTCATTGCTGCTCAGGGCTCTGTGAACCCAACTGCCCCGTTCAGCAAGTCTGTCCTGGTGAGTGCCTGGCACATGCCAGGAGTTAGAGATTCTCTAGGGAGCCAGACGTCAGGGTCCTTCCCCGAGGGGGTTCAGTGCGGATATGCGGTGATAGGGGGTGGGAGGGAGGGCCCAGGTGGGTGGCTCAGCTGGCCGGGGTGAGGTGGCACACAGCAGGTGCTGTAAAAATAGCCCCTGCTCCTGGGGATTTACCTGCCGAGGCTGAAAAGCGCTGTCCCACTGTCCCAGAACTAGTGACACACCTCAAAGCTACAGAGAGGTGGAAGTCACAGACCCTTGGGGGCCGTGCATGTGTGGGCTCCAGGACACTGAGTAGAGCCTCAGCACTCCCTGGGGTGAGGCAGGAAAACAGCTGCAGGGGGGATGTGGGACTTGCTAGGACCCAGAGGAGGGGGAAGAGGGGGACCCTGTAGGATGGGAAGGGTGGCCCTAAGGACACCAGGAGGCAGGAGGGGAAGTACTGCTTCTGTAGAGCAGAGACCGTGGGCTCTGCCGGGCTTGCTGCTCCATCCCAAGGTGCTACTCTCTGCCTGCAGGAGAAAGTGCTAATTCGTTCCAGTGCTTTTGCTAGCTGAGCCCAGCAGTGGCCTCAGAATCCTTCCTAACCCACCTAACGCAACAAAAGGGCAGAGCTAGCGTGTGGGGTGAAGCCCACGTCCCATTCCCACTAGGCAGGGGGAAGGTAGATTTGGCTGGGAGAGGTTAGACTGAGACCTGATGGCAGAACTAGGAGCTGGGCTCTGTGCTGGAAGTCAGCCCCCAGTGAGCACTGTGATCATAAATGGGAGGACAGACAGGAGGACAAATCCACAGGGCTGGAGTGCAGGAAGATAGAAGGGCTGTGATGGTTTAGATACCAGCTGCCTAGAGAGGGGCCGACCCCTTTACAGAGCAAAGTGGGAAGCCTGTGGGAGCAGATTCCGAGGGTGAGGAGGTCGGATTTTTCACATGGTTTTGAGATGGTGGTGGGACATGCAAGTGGAGAGGTGCAGAAGCACTGGCTGAGCCACACTGTTGGGGGATGTGCAGTGGTCCCGGGTGAGATCGTCGTGCCAGGGCCATGTCCATGGGAAGATCATGCCTGAGCCCTGGGTGCTGGGCTGGTTCGCTGGGGTGGGGGCAGAAGTGATGTAGCAGAAAGAGTGTCAGGGGACACAGGGTGGGCAGCAGGTGATGGAAGCTCAGGGAATGGAGTGCCGGGGAGGGGCAAACGGAGCTGAGAGAGCGGGCGCCAGAGGGGCCAGGGCAGCAATACAGCCAAGAAAGTGTAGCTTCCTACAAAGTGACGGAAGGAGGCAACAGGAGCCTTTTGCTGGGGAGCACCACGAAAGGGACATGAGCTTTTCTCCTGAGATCAGCTCCAGGAGACAAAAGATGCAGTAGTTGGGGTGTGGGCTGTGGGGTCAGGGATGCCTGGGTCCCATGCTTGCTTTCGTTAGTTCCCAGCAGATGCCCCTGGGAAGTGCATTCCAGCACCTGTCTGGGCTGATTCGCTCAGCTTGCTCAACTGTAAACTGTGCTAATTATTATTACTCATGGCCTGCCTCCCACAACTGTCATAAAGAGCGACAGGTGAGTTCCGCGGCACCCGGAGTGTGGAGAACGGGAGGGGTGAGGGCCGAGGGGTGATGTGGCTCACCCTCTGCAGGACACACCTGGCTGTCAGATGCCCGTGCTAGGGAGGGCATGCCAAGTTGTCTTTTGTGTCTAGGTTCCTGTGACTAGCTAGGGTAGTAGACAGCTCAGGCACCAACGCAGGACATATGCCTCATTAAACGCATGCCTCTGACACTGCTCAAGCCCAGAAGGGCAAGACGGCAAGCAGCCAAGAGTCCTCAACCTTTGGTGGGGCTGCTGTTCCCGATGGGAGTCTATGGAGTCACGAGGGAGGAGGAGGCTCAGCCCCTCCCGACCAAGGCTGACTAAACTCAGCACGGGGTAGTTCTGGCAGAGGTTTACTCTAGGTGAAATCTGCCCCAGCTCCGGGGTCAGGGGAAATACTGGAGCAAAGGGAGCGCCAAAGGCTAAGCTATGAAAATCACAGGCGGGCCCAAGCAAGGAGGGTGGCATCGTCCGCGTGAGCGCCTGACATGGACAGGGCCCCTGGTACAGGAGGATACAGATGGAGGGCCCCGTACCAGGTCATGCTGGAGGCAGTAGCCCAGGGTGATTTTCCTGACAGCCTCCCTAAGGAGCTTTTAGGGTGATCCGTTCTCCCCAGATCATCTTGTTAATGCTGCCAGCTCTGCCGTGGGAGGCATTTTACAGATGAGGAAGCTGAGGCTCAGGGACAACGTGGCCTTGCTGGCCATAGGTCCTGTGGGTAGAGGGCAGGGCTGTACCCCCTCTGTCCCCTAGGCAGGATCCCAGGCACTGCACCGCAGCCAGCCCTGGGCACCAGGGCACTCAGGCCTTCAGACCTGCACTGTCCCACACAGGGCCGCGAGCCGCATGTGCCTCCCCAGTAACTGAAATGCGGCCAATGCCCCTTTGATTTCATATGATTTAATTTTAACTAATTTACATTTAATTAAAAACGGATTCCCCAATTCAGTTATTAGAACACTTTTAAGCATGTGTGGAGCAACTTGGGGCATACGACTCTACATTTTCAGCTGTAAATTTAATGAAATAAAAACACAGATCACGTATTTCAGACGAAAATTTAGCATTCCAAATTGAGATGTGCTGGAAGTGTAAAACGCACACAGATCTCAAAGACTTAGTATCCAAAAACCCAGTGGAAAATACCCCACTAATATTTTCTACGTTGAAGGTATATAAGAGGATATTTGGGATACATTTGGTTAAATCAAATATATTCATAAAACGAATTCCACCTATTTCTTCTTACTTTGTGAAAAGTGGGGCTACTGCAAAAATTTAAAATTGTGTTTCTATGGGGCAGTGTGGTTCTGCTCCCAAGGTGTGGGGCCAGGGGTGATGGTCCATGCGAAGTCACCTGGATTGCTCTGGCCAGGTCAATGCCTGGGGTTCCCAGTTTTCCTCTTTCTTTCCCCATTTCCAAAGAGCATGGGGTCCCAGCAGGCTGCTGAGAGAATCCCCGTGAGATCAGAGCAGAGCGGTATAGAGGAGGGGTGGGGGAGGGGAGGGAAGGCTGGAGGAGTGAATGAAGCAGCCAGAGCCCGTGGTAGGTGAGGTGGCAATTGCTCCTCACAAATCGGTTGGCAGGCAGGCAGGCAGGCTGGGGAATTTGTGTCAGAGCGAGGAAAAGGGTTTTGAAGTGCGATCACTCACGGGAGGGGAAATTAGCTAAACATCAGCCGCTTCTCCTCACAATCTAGCACAAATCACCACATGGAGGCAGGCGCTAAGGAGTGCTGGGGTGGACGAAACAGACAGCTGGGCGAGGTACTGGCAGATGGGGGATGGAGGAGCCCTGCCCACCCACCTCGGGCCAGTTGGGTGGCTGGGGTGGTTTGAGATGGCGCAGAGAACGAGCGACTCCATCGTCAGTGCTGACTCCTGCGGGGAGCTGGGCAGTGCAGGAGGAAGACAGCAAAGGCTCCCCAACCTAGGGTAGACTGAGCCACCGAGAAAGCTATCTGCCTTTGACTCGGACACCGAGCCACTCTGCATCTGCGGCATTGCCTCTAACCAGGTGACCGGGCTCCATAAGACTGTGGGTATTATGGTCACTGGGAAACATATGGGAGAAAGCGCTCCCTTTGTGACTCAGTTTCTTCCTCCCATGGAAACAATAGCCTTAGCTCATGCATGGTTGGGGGCTCAAGCTATGGACTCAGCTGAGAGCCTGGCTCAGGCCAATAGGAGAGTTATCCTGTGACTCTGATGGATGATGGGTCAGTAGCCAGAATGGATTCTCTACCCTGTCTTTCCAGGCAGGCTGGAACCTGGGAAGGAAAAAGGACAGAACTGGGAATTTGGGAATTTGGGGAGAGATCCTGCTGGAGCTCAGAAAACCCAGGAACGGGGCTGGCAGAGGCTGGGAAGATTGTGGGCAGTGGAGGCACTGGCAGACAGAGGCTGGGATCCGGGGGAGGTACCAGAAGGCCCCTGGTTGCCTGCGCTCTCATCTTGCTGCAGGTGGGCACATACCAGTGCAACCATGGATGATAAATGAGGCTGCTTTGGGAACGCAGGAGTGGTACAGATGTGGAGGGACGTGAACATCTGGCTCCCTCAGCTTGGGTGGTGTTTGGCTGTTCCGGGAAGTGCTAATATCACCCCATGTGCTTGGATTTGGTCTCTGTGATTCCCAGCCTGCGCTGGCACCCCACCCGCCCCATCCCCTTCTCTATTCCTGGGACGGGGCCCGGAGGGAGCACGTAGCCTGGCAGAGGACAGCCTGGCCTGGGACCACATCCCTGGCTGCGGTCTTGGCTGGACAAAACTCTGCCGAAGGTCTCCCAAGGAGTTTCCCTTCAGGCACTTCTTGCCAGGCTTTTCTCTCCCAGCCCCAGGGCATCCAGGGTTAGGCAGACTGGCATATTTAGGTAGGAGGCAGGGACTGCCTGTGTTGCTGCTGGTGGGAACTGCCTGGCTCCAAGCAAAAACAGTGCTTTGCCAGCTGAGCAGAGGCAGTTAGTGTATTTCTTTTTTTAAATGACCTTCTGATCTCCTGGGGTGCTTTCTCTGTCAGCACCTGAGCCCGGGATGGCTGTGATCCACACAGGCACACTCTCTCCCGCTCTGTTCCTCCCCTCCCTAAGCCTCAGTGGCCCCGCTGACAGCCAGGGCAGGAGTCCCATCTCCTCCTGCAGGGACTCAGACCAGCTTCCAGAGCTCAGCTCCCTCCTGTTCCCACCCTGGTACTCGCACCAGAGCACAGCACCCAGCCTCGCTCTTCCCCTCCCTGGGAGGGTTTCCTGCTGCTGCTGTCCCCATCCTCCGCCCCCTCCATTCTATCTTCCCAATGACCCCCTGGAGCACCATTCCCAAGATTTAATGACCCGCTCCGAGACATCCAGGCCCTGTGCTTACTTACTCTCCACGGCGAGAGTGATGGGTTGGCTGGTCTTGTTATCTCCGTTCTTGTCATTAACAGCCTGCACATAGTAGCGGCCGGCGTCCGGAGCCACCGTTGACAGGATGACAAGGGTGTTCTCCAGCGTGATGGCTCTGGGAAGAGGAAACGGATTCCTGGAGGGGCTTGGAGCCTCCTGGGGGTGGGAGCCAGGATCTGAGGCTGCTGGCTTGATGGAGTCACCCCAGCCCAGCCGGAAAGAGGAGAGGTAGGGTACCCTTACCCAGCCACTTGCTGTTCAGCCCCACTCACAGTTAGTATGCAGAGAACCCCGACAATCTCTGGTGCTGGTGTCAGGCCGAAATAGGATGCACGGACACCCAGAGGCTGAGGCCATCCACCTGAAACCTTCCCAGCCCCACCCCAAGGGTGGGCTTAGGGCCTCCTCCCCAGTCTCCATGGAATTCTACTCTTTCCCGGGACACAGCCTTGACGACTTTGTGAGGCTGTCTCCGCACATGAGCGTCTCAGCACTGGAGACATATTCATGGGACAAATGAGCGAAGCTGAGCGGTAATAATGTACCCGGAAATGTGCAGGGCCATTCCAGGATTGCTGCTGCAGCCCCAGTCATTCCTTTTTTAGGTTGACTCAAAAGCCACAGGTTGCCTGAAACAGCTCTCTAGGGTCCTGTCTCCCTCCAGCCCCCTCCCTCGGGATCAGTTTCCCCCTTCCTGAAGCTGGAGAACATGCACAGGGCCAACCGGGCTGCCTAACAGGAGAAAGGAAGGGCGGCTGTGCTGTGGGGTTTGAGCTAGGCCACTTGTCCCCAGGCCAGTTCCCTTTCCTGGGTTCCCATCATGCAGCCCCTCGGCAGGCCAAGTCCTCCAGACAGAGAGACTGGGGTCCCCTGAATGTGGACGCAGTGGTGTGGGGAGCACTGCCCACCCCACTCTGCCTGTGCCTTTCACCCATTCTCCTGATGACAACAAAACCACTAGTTTGCCAAGTCTATCTCCGGATTGTAATGCGATGTGCCCGAGACAGCTGTTAAACATCCTTAATGTTAGTTTAACAAGGACAAATCCAGTTGAATTCTTTTCAAATTTTCCCATTAGGTGAATGTTACAGAGTTTTAAGCAGGCTCTCAAATAAACACGCCTGCTAATGCCTCTCCAGCCCAGTTCTCTTCCAGCCTGAGTGTGCAGTGTCCCCCTCCTGATTCGGGGGTTTTATCTACCAGGACCCATCCCATCAATGGAGCTTTGGGCAGGAGGGAGGGAACCCCTCCCCCCATGCACAGAAGGTAATGATGTCCATTTTTTTTCTTCTTTTCCTGGAAAGCTTTTTACCCCCAGCTAATGAAATGGTAGGAGATAGGACCACAGCCCGGCTAAAATATTTTAAAGGGGACAACACAGGATCAGAATGGTCACCATCTTCCTGCCTGTGAGCCTCCCGCAGGGAACTTTGTCCTTAGGGGTAGCATGTGGGTGGCTGAAGGCTCAGGGAGGGAGTCTGGGCTGTGGGTTGCTGGGTGCAGGGTGGCAGATCAGGCGCTGAGCTCTGGAACAGAACTAAGGTCCCAGCTGCTGGGGGCACATACTTCCTCATGGCCGGGCCTGTTGCCTCACCTCTGCAATGGTCGGAGCAAATATTTGCTAGGATTTCCTCCAGGCCGAGGCTGAGGGATGCTGGATCCTGTTGTTGCTGCTTCTGTTTGTTTCCATTTGGCCCACACAAGCCCAGCAGCCTTCTGGCTGGCTCCACCCATACCTCTCACCTGGTCGAATTTGGCTTCAGGATGGAGGAAATTGTGTGGGTAGCAGAGCGCTGGCACCCCGAAGGTCCAGGAACCAGCCACACCGTTTGACAGGCTACTGTAGGGTGGGTCTAAAAGAGGCACCTGCAGGCCTACTCTCTTCACCCAACCATCCTGAGCCCCCTTTGGCTTCCAGAGAAGGAACCCCTCCTTCCAATTTCTTTTCTTCTTGACTAGGAGGGCTCCTCATGGCCCATCTTCTTCTTTAGCTATGTTTTTATATTATGACAATTTTTCCAGTTCAGTGATTCTCAACCAGGGATGACCTTGTCCCATTGTCAGGGGACACTGACAATGTCTAGGCTTTTGGTTATCATAGCTGTGAAGGGGCTCCTCAAAGCTAGGGGCAAAAGCTATGAATGCTGTTAAGCTGGAATCCCACAATGCGCAGGTCAGCCCCGTGGGGAGAATGACAGTCCCTGGATGGCATGGTTGAGTACTGTGGCATCCATGTGGTTGAATGTGTCCCCTAAGGGTTCATACATTGAAAATGTAACCTACACTGTGAGGTATTAAGAGTGTGGGAACTTGAGAGATGATTAGGGTTAGACAAGGTCATCAGGGTGCAGCCCGTGAATAAACCTTGGTGACCTGAAAAGAAGAGGGAGACCAGACAGACACACATACACATGCGCTCACCCAGTCTCTTGTTATGGGACATCCTGTACCACCCTGCCAGGCAAGGCCAACACCAGTTCCAGCCCCTGACCTTGGACCTATAGAATCATGGGCCAACATAAACCTCATCCCTTTACCCGGCCTGTGGTATTGTGTTCCTAGCCATGGAAAATGGACTGATCCATGGAGACAGCCTGTCCTAGGAGGGGTGGACATTGATTGAGCCGGCAGAGATGGCCAGCTACCCAGCTCGGTTCTAGGCTCCCCTCCTGGAGAGGACTGGAGCTGCTGGATCCGGCTTCCTGTCCTGTACAGAGCGACATGGAGGAGGGGATATACACGCTCCAGATTTGGCCCCACAGGGACCCTGCACTGTTCTTCTGTTGCTCCCTCCCCTCCGTCAGAGCAGGGTGACTGGGAAGTCCTGTCTGCATGACAGCAGAGCCCCAGCAACCTGTACCTGGAGCAACTGTGCAGGGGGAACAGCCCTCTGCCGCTCACCCAAGGTAGGATGTTCTACATGCCAGACATTACCTTCTGTGTCCAGTCACTGGGGCCTGGGGTCTGCCTGGTACTGCAGCTAGCATTGCCCTTCCAAGTGCCTGCAGGGCAGCAGCTGGGCCTGGGCCCCGCAGGACACGGGTTTGAGCCTTGAGCACGGAGTGGGACAGAAGACCCAAACGCCTTTTCCTCGCCTGCCTGACTCCAGCTGGAAGGCACGGAAGTCCTTGGGCTTGCAGCCATCTGCGTGATGACTGTCCCCTTGATACACAGGCGAGTTCACTGCCAGCATGCACACAGCTGCTTGTGGCCCTTGGGAAGGCATCTAGGCTGCCGTACCCAGATGTATCCACACTGAGGGAAGCTGGGGAAAGACTCTGGCGGGGGGCAGGGACAGCTGTGCTCAACTCTTGCGGGAGGACAGGTTATCTTTTTTGGCTATACCCCTGGCTCCAAGTCTTTAGGCTCCTTCTGGTTCCTCTGATAGGCCCAGCCCTTGCCCACCTTCCACCAACTGCTCCTTTTTCACTATCTCCCTTTTCTCGGCTCAGTGCGAACCCAACCCATCATTCAATTAGGAATAAAATAAGTCATCCTAGAATGTGCCCAAGTCCCCCAGCTTGCACGTCTGTTAGGAATCTTGTTTCTTTTCCCATAGTGAGCTCTGGGGCTCATGAGGTGGCGCTGATCCCTGTCCTGCCTGGTGGTGGCAACGGCCCTCTGCAGGTAGCAGGGCCTTCCTTGGCTTGCAGCCTCTCTGGCTGATAGCACTCATCAGATGCGGAGCTCAGACATGCATCCCCTCGGGAACCTGCCTCCAGGGTTCCTTTCTGCCCATGATGAGTATTAATCTATGGTAATTGCCAAGGGAAAGTGCCCCGGTGTTCTAGCATGCACTGGGTAGAGTGGGTGAGGGATAGCCGTGGGTGATCAGGAAATGTGCATGTGTGAGAGTAGACCAGGGTGATTCTGTCCTGAATGAGAGAGGCCAGAGACAGAGAGAGTAAAAAGAGAGGCCAGAGATGAGAAAAGGAGATGAGAAGGTGCCAGCAAAAGGATAACACTGTGTTGACAAGGATTCTGAGGCCCCATCCAGCCTCATGGGAAAGAGCATCACAATCGATTAGCAATGTCTGCCCTGGCTGCACAGGGAGTGGCTCTTTCTCTACTATGTTTGTAGTGTTCCGGGCAGTCATTACCTGCTGATCTGCATACAGAATGCCATCAGCGATACACGCGGGCAACCTCAGAAAGGGAGTTAGGATGGGATGGGACTCACCTAACCAGCACCTGTGTGGCCCAGCATTCTTCTACAGCACAATCTCAACATCCATTCTGTGGCTTTACTGAATACTAGGTTCAGGGGCCATGCTGGCTCTCACAGTGTGAGTCCACTGTTTTTTTTTTCCTGGTACTGGGAATCGAACTAATGACCTTGCACTTGCCAGGCAGGTGCTGTGCCACTGAGCTAAATCCCCAGCCCCCGTGAGTCCACTTTTAACCTGTGGTGCTGCTCCAGTCCTTTCCCTCACTCTGTATCACCCCATCTGCCATGTGCCTGTGGTCTTTTCCCTCCATCACATGGCATATGGCAGAGAGGATGGATAGAGCACACCTCTTGACTCTGACTTCCGCCATGTCCTTGCTTTGGCCAATGTGATGTTAGCAAGACCCTGAAATTTATGGTTCTGCTTCTTCTCCTGCTCCTCTGTAATTGCCCAAGAACATGCAAGGGCAAGCTGGCAGGAGGATGAGACATGCAGAGGAGAGCCAAGTCACCTGTCATCTAGTGTGAGGCCATCCAGCTAACCCCAGAAAAGTGAGCCCAACCAAGACCAGAAGAAGCACCCAGGCAAGCCCAGTCTCAATCATCAACCGGCAGACTCCTAAGGAAAATATAGCAAAGTCCTTATTGTTTTGGCAGCATTTGGTATGTTTTGTTATGCAGCATTATTAAGACTATAGGTGACTGATACATAATAGGTTCTCAACACTGGTTGCACATTCTGATGACCAAATTATGCCCCATTTCAATTAAATCAGGATGCCTTAAGGTGGAATCCAAGGATCAGTAGTTTCCAAAGCTCTCAAATGAGTTCTACAGGTAGCCAGGTTGAGAATCTCTGAGCCAGGACTAGCTCTCCAAAGCAGAGTCCCTTCTTCAAGTCTATGTGCTTGTTCACACTTAAGTGTCACAGAAGGCAAGAGTTATAGACCCTGACTCTACAGTCAGCAGGGTTGGAGCCAACTATGTGAGATCTGGCCAAGTAGTTCAACTTTGGGAGCTTCAGTGCATTGTTTGTACAGTGAGGATAAAGCCAGCCAATTCCTGGGGCAGTTGTGAGGGTCATGCATTCAGCAACTGGTCTTGGAGCAGATGTTCTAGTGGGTGGGAAAGAGAAGGAGACTGAGAGAGCCTCCTTCTTCATGGAGGGCAGTTTCTCAGAGAAGAGGAGATGTACCTGTGCTTAGCATGGTCCTGAGACCATAGCAGTCACTCAATCAACAAGTCACTATCATCACTATGACATTGTTATGATATTATACTTCTGTCATGGGACCTAATACTCCCCAAAGGTGAGAATCGTGCATATCTCCCTGACTCCCTACAGAACAGGATGGGCTCCGCCCATTCTAAAAGGTAGCCCAGCAGGTCAGGAGGAAGGCTTTCTGGGAGCAGGGAGGAGCTGGAGCCATAGAAAAGAAAGTCCGGGGCTGGTTTCTGACCCTGAGCAGCAACAGGGGATTGAGGCAGGATCTTCTGGAGGGATGTTGTGCTCCTTGCCTTCTGTGGTGGGGAGCGGTGTTGGCTCTGCCACTCCTACACACAAGCAAGGCTACCAGGGCCAAGGCAGGGGGCACATAGAGGGATCCTTGTGCAAATGGAAAGCACTGCATATCTTTGTGCCAGGCCTCCCCTGACCACATCCATTCCTCACAGCCAAACACACACTGCCCTTGCACCCTGGTGCACACCTACCACACCCACACAACCACAATGGAGATGTCCAGTCTCCATCACCCTAGCACTCCTGCTTACATCCTGGGCCTGTGTGTGTGTGTGTGCCTGTGCATGCATGTTCATGTGCATGTTTGTGTGTTTTAAGTCCTTTTGGAGAATTATTCTCCAGCTCAGCATGGAGGCAATGCCCTGGGATTCCCAGAAGATCCCAAGTCCTCACAGGCAGGTTTCAAGAAAGTCCCTTGTAAACTAAACTTCTGTCCCTACCCAGGAGGTCCCGAGGCTGGCCCTGTCCCAGACAGAGGCTTCTGTAGAAGGGCTCTCTTCAGCATATGAGAAACTTGATCCAGCCCAGCCCCCCTCCCACAGGCCCAGCCTCCCTCATTGTCCCCACAGGGCAAGGCCTCACATGCGGCTGCTGGGTGGGATCTTGCGACCATCACGGAACCAGGTCACCTGCGGCCGGGGAAAGCTGGCAATGCGTGGGGCGCGGATGACGGCAGCCTCTCCATGGGAAACGCTCTGGTGCTTCTCGCCCTCCTCGAAGCTCCCCATGTCTGCAGTGGGAGAAGGTAAACAGGAATCAGGGGCTAAGGAACTGCAGGGTTCCTGGGGACAGTGTCTACAGCAGCGGGATGACATGAAGCAGACAAGATGGCACAGGAAGATGACGCTAAGCGGTCAGAGCATCTCACCCCACCCCACCTCCCCATTTAACCCACAGTGGTGACATACACTGCTGCATGAGTTTGGGTTTCACATCCATTTATATCTGCAGGTATCCATATATCCTTGAACCAACTGATTTGTCCAACCGCCACAAGAGGCTGATCATTATTTCACACCTTTTATAACTGAAAAAAACACTAAAATGGCTCTGCTTAATTAACTTGTCCAAGGTCATGTAGTTAGGAAGGAACTCTGGCATTGGGCTGCCATTTCTCCTCTGCCCTGTGGTGTTGCTTTTGGCACAGTAGGGGCATAGGTGTGACTTCTGTGCCCTTGGGGGCACACTGGAGCGACTGGGGTCTTGGATGCTCATAAAGGGGTGTGTTGTGGAGAAAAGTTCCCTTTGGTGCCGGGGGGCGGGGCGCGTGTGCGGCTGTGCGTATGTGCAAACATAAACACCATATTGCTCTTTGCAAAGCATGCCTCCCTCCTTAGTAGAAAGGGGAAGAGCATTTATCCTGGCTCTGATGTTCTGTCAACCAGGAGGGAAGCAGAGAGCAGAGGAGACACACAGGAGGCCCTTCTGGCTCCCTGCCTGCTTGCTGGGCAGGGCTAGGGTGGAGGGACTGAGTCTCACAGCAGCGGCCTGGGCAGGGGGCTTTGGGAAGGGGCATCGAGATTCTACCACACCCTTGAAAATCAGTGTGCGGCCTTGTTAATGCAAGTGGAGTCCGTGAGCCCACAGCACCAGCCAGGTGCCCAGTTGACAGGCAGAGTCTCAGCCCACCCAGACCACCGGGCCAGAACCAGCAATCCAGCAGGATGCCCTCAAAGGGTATCCAGGTTCATCTGTGACTCTCACTGTGCATACCAGACAGGCTCTGCGTCAGGAACCTGAGGAGTTAGACAGTGCTGCTGGGAGTTCCACCCCCAAAGCTTCTGATTTCATTGGTACAGGGTGAGGGGAAGGGAATCTCAGGCAGGGAGCACCCTGCACCAGTCCACCACCCTACCTTCTAACCCCGTCATGGCGAACCTGCCAGTGCTTTCAGTGGTAATAAATAGGCTGCTGCAGCACGCGTGCCATAAGTTCACCACCACTACTCTACCCTACGATGTGTTCTGCCACACTCCCCAGAGCCATAGGCCTATGTGCCATAAAGGGTACAGACCACGGACTTCTGGGCCTTAGTTTCCTGATGGCCTCTCTTTAACCAAGGGGTGCCATATCCTAAGCCACCTGGACTCCTCCTACCATGGCAGTTATTGTTTCTCAATTCCCTGACACCATGGCCTCTTCCTCCTCTCCTCCCCTTGGAGTTCCCAGCCTGGCTGCCCCTTCTAGAACCCTTAGTTTTCCCAAAGGAAGAATCACTGGAGTGGGTGGGGCTCAGACACTGGTGTTTCTAAAGCCACTCAGAAGCTCCAGGCAAGGTCAAGCATACTGTCTTGCCTGAAGATAGCCCAGGGCTCTTCTATGTGGCTCATCTCAGAGTCACCCCGGGGCTAGGCTCACCCTCTAGTGTCCCCCTGCCTCCTCCCCAGGCCATGGACAGCCCTGCCACAATGTACCTGGGTCGCTGTTCCTTGCCTTGCTCATTCCACTGCTCACCCAAGTTGGAGACCGCTGGCCTGTACTCTCCTTTCCTCAAGCCCTGGACTTGGTTCTCTGGGGCCACGCCCTTGGTCTTAACTGTAACCCCTCTGCACATGACTCTCACATCTCCTCTCCAGCTCTCCCCTGAGCTCCAAGGTACAATTTCCAGCAGTTTGCTGGGTGTTTCCGTCGGGAGGGCCCCTCAGCATCTCCCCAACAAGTCCTCCTTCTTGCACCCTTGGTTCTATTTGTTGCTTCCACCACTGCCACCACCCTGCCCCAGTCAGCTGAACTCAACCCCTTGAAGTCTTTGGTGGCGCTTCCCTCCCTGGTCTTCACAAAGTCCTCAGCTCCTCCTCTGGGCTGTCACTCTTATGAAACAAGACCCCAGGCTCCCACAGGCCTGCCAACAAGCTAGTCCCATTGTCTCCAGCCTCTGACTCCTAGCATGGTCCCCTACCACCCATCCCTCCTACACAAGGTTCCCGAGTAACTTTCTGACCACATGGCCAGCCTGCTTGGAGACTTCAGCACCTCTTCATTGCCCCAGGAAAGTCTGGATCCCCTTGCCTGGTTTCAGGGTCCCTCCTAGTTGGGCCTCAACCAGCTTTTCTTGCCTAAGGGCCCACACCGTGTCCTGCCACTATGAATTACACACACTGTACTTCCCGCCCTCTATTTTTGCTGAGCACCTGCGTGAAATGCCACCAGAATAGGCCATGAGTCACCGACATGCCATAGTTCTACAGCATCCCTGGTGATGTAGCCAAAATAGTTTCCAAGGATAAAAACTCCTATTGGCATTCTTGTTCTAAATTTGGTAGGTAGTATGTGCGTGGGGCTTAGGTAACTCTGAGACTGGAATTCAAATCCTAGCTGTGATACTTACAGGCTATGACACTGGGCCAAACTTTTGACTTTGTCAAGCTTTAATTTCCTCTTCTACAAAATTAAAACTTAAAAAAAGAGAGCTTTCTTTACGGGTTAAACTGAGGCACACATGAGATAATATGTGTGTGCAAGGCTGAATCTCTCTAAAGATGAATATTTATCCCCCTCTCCAAATATCTTTCTTACAATGTGTCTGATATTCTTCCCATTGGGAGGGGGGTGGCCTATGTATCTTCCCCTTGGGTCTTTGGAGCTTGTGACTCTTCCCCCTATAGAACATGCTGGAATTGATGCTGTGTGACTTTCAAGGTTAAGTCATAAAAAGATGCAGCTTCTACCTGGCTTTCGCTCACCAAACACTGGTCCTTGGCATCAAGCCACTGTCCTGCAGAAGCTCAGTTGAGCCCAAGTAGATACAGAAACAGAACACATGGTGGGGAACAGAAGCCAGCGTGACAGCCAGCATCAGCACCAGACAGTTGAACAAACAGGTGAGGCATCAGGTGACTTCAGCCCGCAGCCTGCATGTCTCAGCTGAGACCTCAGTCATCACAGAACACAGGCAAGCTGTCCCTGCTGTGCCCTGTTCAGATTCCAGAGTCACAGAATCTGTGAGCGTAACTAATGACTGCTGTACACCACTGCATCCTGGGGTGATTTGTTACCCAGCATAGAAACTGGAAGAGTATATAAAAGTGGTGAAAATGATATCTAATACTTTCAGTATTAAAATATGGGAATCCCATACATTTTTCATGGTTTAGTTTAAATATCACCTCGTCAATAAAGATTACTCCAAACCATCAAAATAGAATTAAAAAACAGATTTGTTGCGCACTTAACCCACGCCAGGTTTCTTTCTGGGTCTATTTTCCGTGCATTATCTCATTTAATCCTCTCAATAACACGACAAGCTCAATTTTAATAAATATACGTTTTAGTGGTTTATTAATTTCTATTACTTGGCTCTGTCTATAAAAATTACATCAATAAATCACACTGATTTCAGTTCTTACAATAATTTTATCTGTTTAAGAAACTTTTCACAGAACTCAGAAGATGTATTTAAACAATTTAGAGCAATTTCGTGGTAATAGTGTTTCTCTCTGCTTTCTGTTTTTATTAGCTCCATTTGGTCGATGGGGAGATGAGGGTTCATGGAGACAGAGTGGCTTGTCCGGCGTGAGGCACCAGGGCTGGGCCTGGCTCAGCCTCCCTTTGCACACCCTCCCCCTCTTTACTGGCTCCTAGCCCACAATGAAACTCCCCATGAACTTTTCTTATCTTCCAGTAGACCGTAAGCTTGGTGAGGCAGTTCTATGTCAGCGCATTCATGAGCAAATCTCTACCAGACACGAGGCTCATCCTCTGCACACAGCGGGATCTGTCTGACTTCACCCAGCACCACCTGACTTCACTCAACAGCTCCTTGCACAGCCTTATTGTGGCTCAGGTGGGACCTGTGGTGGGCGCTGAAGAAAGACCTGGTCCGTGCTCTTGTGGAGCATAAAGTCTTGGCGGGGAGACGGGTATACATAGGCAAATGATCAGCGTTTACACCTGTGACAGCAGGTGCACCTGTGACAGCAGGTGCAGCATAGCTGGGAACAGGAACGGGTTTCTTCCCTGAAAGGCAGTAGCAAGAGAAGGTACTTCAGGCTCGGGGAGGGTGTGGTGAAGCCATAAATACAGAGGTGTCTGGCAAGTGTGTGCACAGGTGTACAGGGGTCCAGTTTGGGTCCACAGGAAATAAGCACATGAAGGCCGGGAGGTGGGGGAAAGCAGCAGTGGGGGAAATGAAAGGTTGGTAGGGCAGGAACGGGTTTGCTCAGCGCACAAACACCTTGGATGGAGGGTTCTATGGGTGGAGGGTTGTTTGTTCAGGACGGTTGGCTGTGTGCATTATTTCATTTAATCCTCCCAATAACATGATAAGTCCAATTTTAATACATATTGGCTGATGGAGGGATGGGCAACTGGGTAAGGAGAAGAATGAATGAATGGCTAGGAGTCTGCATATTTGTATGGTGGGTTAAGTGGTACGCGTGGATAGATGGTTGTATATATGCATTTTTTATATATGGGGAGATGATGGTTATATATATGTATATATATGTATGTATGGTTGTATGATTGTATGTGTGGGTGAATGAGTGGTCGTATAGTGGAATGGATGGTTTCATGCATGTATGTATGTGCATGTATGTATATGTGTATAGTGAGATGGACAGTTATAGTGGGAGTGGATGGTTTTATGTATGTACATATGTATGTGTGCACATATGTATATGTATATAGCGAGATGGACAGTTATAGTGGGATGGATGGTTTTATGTATGTGTGTATCTGCATGTATGTATATGTGTATAGTGAGATGGACAGTTAAAGTGAGATGGATGA